TTTTCAAGTTCATCAAGACTTTGCAAAAGTAATCGCGTTTGAATCGAGAGATCTTTTACATAACTTTCATAAACGGCTAGTTTTTGCTGAAAGAAATCAAACACAATCTTCGATTACGTAACAACAACAAAAAAATCATCAAATCGCCTTTCGTTTTTCTTAGATTAATGGTGTGAAAGCCCACTCAGCCGAGTCGCGTCCTCAAAATAAGCAAAGCTAGATCGCTCTAGTACATGCTTCATGAAAAACTCAATCATATCGAAGGATTTCAAATATAGACTATACATTCGAAAACTCATTTTTTTTAAACAAATTATCCTCTGTATATTCTTTCAAGTGGAAACCCTACATGTTTCGTTTATTCATCAAGTATTATAACACAAGTTCATTTTGTTCCACCTTCAAAACTCAGCGAAGACCTCCTGATCATCTTTATATAACATTTGCACTGATTCATACAGAAAACTCTTGGTTTACTAAGAACTTAAGCAATCTTTTCTCGATCAGATGAAATTTGAGAGAAACTACAAAAAAGCAAATCGAACCACTTGTTCGTAATTCTCTATACCTTGTGTCGGTCATCAGCCGTAATGTGCTTCTCATCGATACTGGTTAATTTCTTCACATAGCGACTTTGAACTTCTTCGAATAGTGTCGCAACATGTTTAACATTGAGGTTTTGATTTGTACATGTCGTGTTACTCATGGAGAAAGAAAAATAAAAATAGAAATGTGTGGTTTAATAGCAGAAGGACATTTCACTTTATATGGTTTCTTATTCTTCACCTCCATTCACTTAATCATTCCTCTGACTCAACCTCTATACATATCCGATGCACTTCTGATCAAGTGCATTACTGTGTTAGATTCCATTTATGCTTACAATAGATATCGGCAACAAAACTAAAGCGAACGAATTCGAATCGTGAAGAAAAAAATATTTATTTATTTATTTGTAGAAAAAAAACGAACATTAATCTTTGCCACTGATGAACATTTATAAATAATAAACACGCATGACGAATCAAATTTTTTCTTCTTCTTTTTTGTTATGTTGTGCATTACATATGTACTCAAACATGAAGTGTTATTTTTCTTCAGATTTTTAGATTATATTGTATTATCTATTTTTCTTTTGTTCATGTTATTATCGCTCCAATCATTCAAAGTATTAATTAACAGTAAACAAACGATTTTCCAACCTATTTATTTTGTCTCTTCATATATTATGGCTAAAAGTACTTATTAAACATTAATTCCACTAGATTATCATGTCTGAAAGTCAAAAAGCGCCAACGAAAAAATCGAAGAAGGGCAAGACTATAGCATTGAACGATTTTCTTGCTGATACATCAAAGACCGTCACTGTCCGTGCAACAACAAATTGGTCGGATATTGTCGATCATGAAGAAGCAGAAACTAAACCTATCCGTAATTCTTCTAGAAAAATCTGTTTTAATCATACAATCGTTGATCCTTTCTAGTTATTGATATTGGAGCACTACCTACAGCTCCTCGTGGTGCCTCGGAAATTGATCCAAATACTATACCGACAAATCCTCCATTCGTTGCTGTTGTAGCAAATCTCTCTTTCGAAATCGATGACGAAAATCTAAGAAGAATATTTGCTGATTTAAATGTAAGAAATGTTTACGGATGCATTGACCTATCGATTGAATTCTCTTTTTTGTATTTAGCCTAAATCGGCTCGAGTATTACGAGAAAATAATCGCAGTCGTGGAATTGGCTTCGTTGAATTTGAAACACGTGACAACTTAATCGATGCTTTAAAACGAGCAGACAAAGAGATATATGGGCGTAAAATGCGTATTACTGTTTCCGACAAGACAGATATGCAGGTAGATGGAGGTCGAGGATCATTTGGCGGTCAACGATCGAATCGCGGTGGTGGTGGTAGTGGTGGTGGTGAAGGGCGACCAGAAATGGATGAGAAATGGACAAGAGCCAAGAGTGAGTAATTCATGCAGAAGGCTCGTTGCAGAGAAAGATTCTTCTTTTAGCACGACCTGACGATGCGTCGGATGATCGACCAAGTAGTGGATTTAATCGTGACAGACAAAACCGTGGTGATCATGGCCGATGTATGTTTTTGTGAATAGAACACACGAGATCTTTTTAAATCCGTCCGATTTCTAGCAAATATGGGTGGTGGCTCACGAGATAATCATGGTAATGATTATGGATATGGATATCCACGTAGAAGCGATGATCGCGGTGGAGTACATAGCGGTGGCAATCGGGATTATAACCGTCAAGGACAACGCAATCGTTATCAAGATGATGATAATCGATCGAACAGTGGTGTCGACAGACCTCGTTACTCAGGTCGATACAGTGATACACGGTAAAATCGAGATTTTATTCGACATCTTTCGTCTCATATTGTTGTCTAATAATTTTAGTGATACGCGAGATCGAAATCGAACGAATGGTATTTGATTTCTTTTTTTGCCTTCTAAATTCTCTAAGCATTCTTTTGTATGATTCTCAGATGAAACTCCCGACGATCAACGAGAACCACCACGAGAACGTCAACGTTTACAACTTCAACCACGTACGAAACCATTGGAAGAATTCGAACCCTTATCAGGTTCCTCATCATCTATTAATAACGTTGCTGCTAATGCTGGACAATCTTCGATATCCAATGCAGATGAATCATCTTCACCCTTAGCAAATACTTCGACTCAACAAAATCAAGATTTATCACTCAATGAGCATCGAGATGATAATGAAGCACAAGAATCTCGAAATTCCGATGATCGAGTAAATACATCTGATGAACAATCAACAGTGAAACCATCGCGTGGTGCTGGTGCTTCGATATTCGGTGGAGCGAAACCGGTGGATACAACTGCAAGGGAACGTGAAATTGAAAAGAAGCTAAAAGAACTTGAAATGACTTCTAGTGAAACAACGGGTGATACTGAAGAAAAACCGGCGCCATCATCATCTAGGTAACATATAATCTATGTTAAACGTATAAAAGCTAATTCCGATAAATCATCTGTTAAGACCATCACATTATCGTTCTGATCGAGATGGTTACCGTGGTAAACGATCATCACATAATGATGAACATCGAGATGGACGAGATGACGGTACTAAAAGCTAAATACATTCTCATAAGCAATACTTTCATATTGTGTATATTCTTTAGGCCGATCTGGACAAGGTCTAGATCATCAACACAAACGTGAATATAGTGGTAGGTGTTACGGAAGGATTATTCAATAGACGTCAATTGTTTGATAAATTTAGGTGGCCGACAGTATGAAGACGAGGGTCGACGACGTCACAATGATGATCATCCACCATCAGCACGACGTGGTGGCCACGATCGAGAACGTTATGGCGGTGGTCAACAGCGACGCGATCACGATTCTGTTCGTTCCAATAAATATAATCATCCAGATCGTGGTATACAATCTTGTTTTCTTTTCTTTCATCATGAATTTACTTACACGTATATATTCAGATCATGATCGTAATAACAATCGACAACGTGAACGTGAAGATCGCAATCAAGATCCCGATGAATTTAGCACTTATGGTCGTCCACACAATAACCAACACGGTGATGGCTTTTCTCGAAATCGACCACGGTAAAATCTTCATTCTAATCTTTCATGACTTTTGATTCTATCGTTCAGTGGTGGACAACGTCAAAACGTTCCAGCTACAGATGATTCAAGCAAAGTAAGTCACGTAATTCATGATCGAACTGCTCGAATCGAATTGCGATTGTTTAGCTCCAATTATCCAATAAATTCTGTATGCTTAACGATGATGATCTTGATGACGATGATAATGAAGATAATGATGCTCAAAGTCCAAGTATTGACGAGTAAATACTTACAAACATTCTCTATATTTTTGGTCGAGAAATTTTCTTGTTTGTTAATCGTTCTTGAGAAAAAAAATCAAAAATAGACTTCATATATCATGAGGGAGAGAGGTAACATACGTTTAACTTTTAATTCTGCAAGTTTAGTTTCTTTATTTTTCATTCTTTATTCGCGTGGGATTTCGGTTGGTTGTTGGATCTTTCCTTCTTCCTTTGTCAAGGCGTGGATGATGACTTTTGTTCTTCTTTCAGTTGTTTCTTTTTTGTCTGTTATCGTTATAACCTTTTTCTTTCTTTCTCTCTCTCCCTCTGTTTTTCTTTCATAAGGAAATTTTCTGTTGTTTATTGATGAGATATTCATCTTCTTCGTTTTTTTTTCACTATTATTCAAATAAACAAAAAAAAGATATTAGTCCATTTGAAATTTTCATTTCTTTTCTTCTTTTAGATTATTTTGCGTTAACAATTTTCACAAATCGTGTTGATGTAAGTATGGTTTGCGCATGTTCTTGTCAATGGTTGTTGTCTTTTTCACTTGTGTTTTAGATCATTTCGGAAGAATTTATGTGCCTATTTGATTTCTAATCAACGCGAAAAGATTTCGTTGTCGTTTTCAGATTTTTCCGTTCGTTGTTTTTTGTCTGATTATTCGTTTTTTAATCCATGTTATTTATTATTGTCCAATGAGATGCAGAAAAAGAAACTAAGACTGTCATTTATTCAAAATGGTTCATAAATGTTGTTGTTTGAAAAGACTATTTATATCTTTTGTTATTTATCGATGCATTGACTGATTCTTCTGTTGTTGTCCTTATATATTGATTTGTCTATATATATATATATATCGATGTCTTTCTTATTGTTATAATGAGAGTCAAATACTGCCATCGAAGAGGTAAAGTAGACAATGAAATTGATCAGATTAAATATGAAACACCAACACATTGTGTGTGCTACTCTTTTTTTCATTGCTGCTTGATAATTAACTAACCCTGATTTGTTTTTCAATTTAATGATAATTCAAAACGATACTTCTTCGTCGTTCTTCGTTCGAATAGAGGAAAAATATTGGTTCGTTTTCTTTTTTAGAGCCTACTCTGTTTGCCCGGCAATATCAATTTGACAACGGCTGATGGAAACAAGACTAACACGTCAACGTTTATCTTCGTCTTCGTCAGTATCACGCTCACGTTCACCAATAGCAAATAGTGAACAACGAAGTGTGTCGAATTCGCCTCGACGAGGACCGTCAACACCAGTGAAATCAGCGATGTATGGAACGAATAGTGATGGTGAACAGGATTTGGAAGAGCGAGAACCTTTGATGGCTGATGATTCTTCTAAAGCAGCTGCCGATGAAATTTCATCGCCAATGATGTCAGATACTGACGAAAGTCATCACAAGAAACGAACACATCATGGACACGGCCATCATCGACACCGGCATCACAAACAATCGAAATCAAACAAACGTTCAATATCGCATCATCGACAATCAGTTAAACGAAGGTAAATATATGCTTATTGAGAAATGTTCTCGTTTAAAGGGAAATGGATTGAATTTCTAGTAAAAAAGAGACAACATCGACGTCGCGACACAGTCAATCTGACGAGGGCGATGAGAATTCTGTTCATTCACCAGAGAAGAACACAAGTGAAAGTGAACATTCACCAGCAAAACAAGAAATTTCGTCGTCGGAAAACGAATCCAATGATGAACAAGAAGAAGGGATGATCGAAGGTAAATATTTGTCGAAAAACCTCGTTTCCTCTCTCATCGTATCCTTTCATCTCATAGGAAACAATACACCGAGTGATCGCCGTAGTAGCCGCCGTCATCATCGTAAAAAACATCGTTCTTCTTCGACAAACAATGAACGTACTAGTCAAAGTCCACAATCAACTTCAAGTGCCACGTTAAAAAATAATAAAGGTACACAGTTGATAGTCAACTACTTACCTGAATCATTACATGAAGCTGAATTTTATCAATTATTCGCTCGTGTTGCACCAGTTAAACTATGTAAATTAATCACCGATCGACACACAGGCCATTCATACTGTTATGGCTTCATCGAATATCATAGCAAAGAGGATGCTTCAAAAGCAATCAAGAAATACAACGGCTACGGAATCGAGCATAAGAAATTGAAAGTCTCGTACGCTCAACCAAAAGGAAAAGCGAATACGAACGATGGCGATTCAGATAATAAACATTCAAGTTCATTATCGACGCAAAAGAATCCAAATGTGTATATTACTGAACTTCCCGATGACTTTGATGAAAAAATGTTAAAACGTCTTTTTTCAAAGCATGGCGATATCGTTCAAGCGAAAATTCTACGCGATCCACGTACAAGAATATCACGAGGCGTTGGATTTGTTCTAATGACATCGACTCGTTATGCAGAACGAGCGATCAAAGCACTTAATGGTTATGTACCACCAGGGGCAGAGCGGCCTATATCTGTGAAATATGCCGATCCAAAGAAGACAGCGGCTGCAGCACCATCAGCATCGGGAAACCATAGTTCATTGTCTCGCTTATCACCAATGCCCAACGTTGTTGGATCGTATGGTTATCCACCTGGCTTTCCTTCGTTGAACATGATCGATCCGTATTATGCAGCAGCTCTTCATCATCATCATCATCAGCGCGCAGCAATGAACATGTAAGCCGAGGAACTTCCTGCTGTTCTATTTTCAATAACGAGCCTTTTTCTTCATTCTTTCAGGAGAGATATGAGTCGGTCACCGCCGCCGTTTCCACCTGCTTATTATGGCAGTGGAAATAGTCGTTCTTCTCGTCGGCGTAGCTCGTCACCTACTGTTTCACGTTCATATTCATCTTCCTCGTCGTCAAAGCATAATTCTAATAGTTTATCAACAGGAATGACAAATTCTTTGTCACGTTCATCAAATCCCAACTCAACATCATTGGTTGCTGCTTATGAATTAATATCTAAAGGTTGCCAACAGGCAATTGATCCAAACGGCTTCGTTATCTACGCATTTGGCTTGCCGCGTGATTGTGTCGAACATGAATTAGAAGAATTATTTCAACGCTATGGTGATGTCTATCGTGTATATATTGTAAAAAACTATACGACAGGTGAATCAAAAGGTTACTCGTTTATAACAATGCGCAATTACGATGAGGCATGTCATGCAATTGACAGTCTACACAATTCAACATTTCAAGGTCGAACAATTCAAGTACGATTCAAACAATGAAATCGATATCTATTTCATAATCTAACACAAATCTATTTATCTGAAAAGAGGAATCTGAAGTCTCGTTCTTTGTTTTTCTTTGTTTTTTTTTCTTTCTTCGTTTTTCCTCGTGCCGTTGATCTTTATTCGTTGTTTGTTGTATTATTTGTGTGTTTACAAATATTAAATTTAGACGAATTCAAAAATAATAATATTATGACAATATTTTAGATAAGATTTTCCTCAACTCGAGTGTTTCTTTCTTTCTTATACACTTTATGATTCATGTAATTCGATGATTTTATCGGTATGTACACAAGTGAATGTTTACAAGCCATTCTCTTCTCATGAGTCATTCTTTAGAAATCCATGTAGTATACTTATTTCCTTTTGCGTTTCACACATCGATAACCGGTTATAACGAAAATAGTACGATATTCAAGACAAACAATTCATTCGATTCTATTGATAAGAAATTAATCAAGAAAATAGTTTTCGCCGATGGAAAACAGCAGCAATCTAGCAACGACTGCTAACGATGTTTCTCAACTTGCAAACGAAGATCTAGACAACGACGATACAAATAATTCCGCGTCAGCTACATCGACTGCCATGGAAGATGTTTCGAGTATAATGCGAAATCCATGGGATCCATTCCATTGTGCTGATTGGGATATGCAGCAACCCAGCGCGACTTGTCTTGCACGAATCAAACGGTAAATATCGAAAGTACGATGAAAATTGATCATCATTTATGTATGTTTTGGTAGTGACATATGGAGTGTATTCAAAGATCCACCACCGGGAATGTTTATTGCACCCGATTCCGAAAACATCACTAAAGTATGTGCTAATAAATTCGCTGACTTGAATTGTAAATAGACCTTTTTAGATCCATGCTTTAATTGTTGGTCCTTTCGATACACCATACGAAGGTAGAATATCTAAATGCCTCTTTCATTGTTAATATTTTCTCCATTAGGTGGTTTCTTCTATTTCCTCATCCGTTGTCCACCTGATTAGTAAGTTGAATAAGATCGTCGTTCGTGAAGAAATATGTCCGTATTTCAGTCCCATTCGTGCACCTCGTTGTCGTCTGATGACAACTGGCAATAACACAGTTCGATTTAATCCAAATCTTTATCGTAATGGTAAAGTTTGTCTTTCCATACTTGGGTAAATTCTTTTTCGTTGTCTTTTTTTCTTCCGTAACAATCTCGTATGTTTCAAATAGAACATGGAGCGGACCATCATGGTCTCCAGCTCAATGTATATCATCTCTTCTCATCTCTATTCAATCGTTAATGTCCGAAAAACCATATCATAACGAACCCGGTTTTGAACATGTATGTAATAATTGCGGATTATTTTTGTCTGAAGTGAATTCATTGTTAAATTTAGGAGCGTACGTCAGGTGACTCGAAAACATACAATGAAATAATAAAACATGAAACGTTACGTGTTGCGGTGTGTGAAATGCTTGAAAATGAAGCATCATGTCCAAAACAATTACGGTAATCATCGTTTTCGTCATGAACTATAATTTGAATGTTTTGTTGTCTTTCAGTGAGGTGATGATCAAACAATTTTTCGACTTTTACGAGTATTATGTCGAAGTTTGCACCGAAAATTGCAATAAAGACGGACAAAAGATGAATGTAAACAAATCGAAAAGATACATGAATTCATAGGTTAGATAAATTAATCTGTTTAGGATCCATTTGGTGATCGTCGTGGTCAATTCGAATATGGATCCATATTACAACGATTAAAAAAGCTAAAAAGCAAATTTGAATCATTGCAAAGCACGAATAACAATAGTGCAGCTTCTGGGCGTTCATCCACATCTTCGATATCGAAACATCAATCAATCGACGCACGTACTCGAGAAATAATGAACGATGCTGCCTCAATTGATCCCAATCCCGTGTCGAACGATGCGACAAATCTCGACGATATCTTCGATGACGATGATAATCCCGATTCATCAATGGACGATGATGACGATGAAGATGTTCTTGATGACAAACAAGAAGTTCCTGATTCCGATGGGCCAACAACTAAACCAAATGCAGAACATTCAGTAGACAAAACTTTGATGTAATTTAAAAAGAAGAGTCTTTTTTTGTACATTACTATAGTCTAATGACATGTTTTCAGTTGGTGGTATTATCATTTCTCTTTATCGGCATGAAAAAAGGACTCATCAACTAGACTTTTAAGTTTTTTCCTCTTTTTTCTCTCTTTTCGTATGTTGATTTCTAACTTGTCGTCAAACACAACACAAAAGTTTAAATATTTTTTTTCTATTCTAACTTGTACTATATTTGTTTCAAAAAAAACAATCGAAAAACAATATTCTCATTGAATTGAACGACAACTTCGCACTCTAAAAGTTCATATAGACATTAAAGAATCACTTAAAAGCTTTTACAATGATCAAAGATATTTCACAAAATTCGGCATTGAACGGTAGTGTCCTCTATAACGATGTATTTCGAAAAACGGCTTTCGATTGGCAGATTTTCAAAGCAAATGTTTATTCATTGCATTACAGTATTGATTGGTTGTATTAAGTTACGGTAACTTTTCGCTCTTCATTCATACATACGTCTCATTTAAGTATTTTTGACATACATTGCTCGGAAAATTGACATGGGTGCCTATCTTGCTTCACCAATATGTGACAAAGATACTGTAGACGGGTCGAACGAAAATTTTGCTTTTGCTGCGAGTTCAATGCAAGGCTGGCGAATGTCGCAAGAAGTATGTATTATTCTTTCTGTTTTCTATAGAAAAATCAAGTTGATTTGTTGAGGATGCACATAATGCAATACTCAACTTTGATGATAAAACATCATTTTTTGCTGTTTACGATGGACATGGTGGAGCTGAAATTGCTCTCTATTGCTCACGTCATTTACCCGATTTTATCAAACAACTTGATTCTTATCGTGAAGGACGATTACAAGACGCATTAGTCGAAGGTTTTCTCAAATTCGATGCTCTGTTATTAGATCCGAAAGTGAAAGAGATTCTACAAGTTTTAGCTGATTCCAAAGACAAAGCTGAAGATAGTGATGAAGACATTGACGATCAATCAGCAAGTACTACCGTGCCGACAAGTATCAACAAGGAAAGTAATCATCAGGATGAGTTGAATGCCGAAGAAGCACACCTGTTACGAAAGGAAGCTGAATTGCCTATCGAAGAATTGATGAAACGCTACAGTGCCGATAAACGAACAGGAGAGAAGTCACCGACAAACACTGAACAGCAGCCCAATGCTGTTTCACAGCTTAATGAAGAAAATACTCCTGCAGATGATGTTTTGGATCATAAAATTGCTGAAACAATAACAAATGGCGAATTAGCAAATGCAGTTGTATGTGTTTTTTCCTTTTCTTTTCTGTTGCTATGGATTCTACATTAGGAAGCCAAACCATCGTCATCTGAACCGAAAACAACAACGAGACGTTCTCGAAAGCCGGTATCGACCGATACATCTACGAAGAAAACTTCATTAACACATCATTTACTTAGTGAAAATATCGATGATCTAGACGGTGATGACGATAATGATGAAGATGAAGATGATTTTGAACTCGAAGGGTAAGCATTTGAATTCTAGTTAGCATATTCGATAACAAAGGCTCCGACGTGATATATTGTGTATTAATTGATTTATTACAGATCGGACGATGAAACATCCGATGAAGATGAAGAACTAGATGATGACGATGGGGAAGAAACAGGAGAAGCAGAGGAAGAGGATGATGAAGAAGAAGAAGAAGATGATGATGATGATGATGATGATGACGATGGTAAACAAGTAAAAACGAACAAAGCAGCACAAATAAAAAAACTGTAAGTAAATAAGAGCTGCACTTTTTTTGTTAATTGATGTTTCTTTTTATTTGTAGTATGAAAAAGTCCATCATGGCTATTTTAAATCGACATCCAAAGAAAAAGAAGCAGAGCGACGAGAGTGGAGATGATGCGAAAGAAAACCAAGTAGGTTGGATCCTTTCGATTCCCGGAATAATTTGATTGTAATAGAATGACGAAAATGATGATGATGAATACGAAGACGAAGACGAAGAGGAAGAAGATGACGACGATGGTAAACAGATCGACTTAATTTAATAAAATATAATATATGATTTACTTCTAGACAACGAAAGTGACGTCGATTTAGGTAAAATGCTTGACATGAGTAATGATCCAGGTTCATCAAGTGGATGCACTGCTGTTGTAACTCTTGTACGTGATAAACAGTTATTCGTTGCCAATGCCGGTGATTCTCGATGTGTTGTGTGTCGTGGTGGTCGAGCTATTGAGATGAGTCTTGGTCAGTATCAACCGGTGGGTTATTGTTCATGAATAACTTTTGTTTTCATGTAGATCACAAACCTGAAGATCCTCCGGAACGTAGTCGAATTGAGAAAGCTGGATATAAAGTTACGTTAGATGGCCGTGTTTCAGGTACGTTTGATTGTAGACGAAAATCAGCATTGAGTTTCTTGATTTAGGTGGCCTCAACTTATCACGAGCTATTGGTGACCATGCATACAAGAAAAACGCGACTTTACCAGCTGAAGAACAAGCCATAACTGCTCTACCAGACATACGAACATTAACACTAGAAGATCAAGACGAATTTATGGTGATTGCTTGTGATGGTATCTGGAATTTTATGTCCAGTCAAGATGTTGTTGATTTTGTACGCATACGTCTTGACAAGAAAAATTTATCGCAAATATGTGAAGAAGTAAGTTGAAACTGGTTCATTCTTAAGAAAAAAAACACTCGTCTGATGTTCGTTAGTTATTCACGCATTGTCTTGCACCAAATACAAGTGGTGATGGTACTGGTTGTGATAATATGACCGCAATTATTGTTAAGTTCAATTTTAATCAATTATCCAAAGCATCGAAGACAGGTGAACACAGTCCATGGCCAGTGATGTTTTCAGCGACGAATAACAAACGATCGTTGTCACCTGATCACACATCGAACGAATCAGCTGACAATAACAGTGGCAAGAAATTGAAGAGTGTGACCGAGAATGGTACAAACGAAACGTTATCACCGTCGAAAACGAGTGGTGTTTTCTCTTTCAATACTGCTGCGAATAATTCGAATTCAACAGATGGTCAAAATTCTAGTTAATCTTCACAACAGTTGAAAACTTCGAACATTGCATGTAAATCGACTTTCTAATCTACATGTTTGTGATGGTTCATTCGTTTTTCGTTGTAAACAAAAGTGAGTTAAAGTTAACAGATGATTTCTTGATAGGCAATCTTTTGTGTACGTGAGAAGAAAAGATTATGTATGCAACGTTTTTTTTCTGTTTATTTTTGTCACTGAACTGTCTTTGTTCTTTGTATTTACTCTAGTAGAAATATGATGAATTACAGACTCTTGCGATAATTAAATCCAAATCTTCACATAGACAAAGCCGTCGAGTGGGAAAATGGATTTCCCTTTGATTGAGTCGAAAATCGATAGATCTAGTCGAAGATTTCCTGTTTGTGAGGAAGCGCTTTTTTGGCGAAAAATTGAATTGGGCGCTGGAATTCACTTCGATACTAAATCAGTCAGTTCAATAACAGAAAATCAATATCTTCAGTTCTCTCCCTTCTCTATTAAACTAAACGTCTATCTACAAAATCATGGCTCGAAATGCTCGTGGGCGAGTTAGCAAAGCAAAGAATAACAATCATTCGTCGTAAGTGACTACTTGTTCGTAATGGCCTGTGTATAATTGAAATACAAAATAGCATTCGAAACCGCTCGTCTAACAAAGGAAGGAACGGACGATCTTCTAGTCGTTCGACCATTAACCAGCACAAACAAAATCTCTTGCGTAAAAATAGCCAAAGTCAATCTTCAATTCGAAACACTCATGGTGTGAATAAAAGCGCAAGCAGATCGAAGAGGAGTTCATTATCGGCTAACACACGGAAGAAGCAATCGAAGAATATCAAACGAAAGAAAAGTGCAATAAGTAACAAGAATAACAACAGCAATCGACAACGTCGTCTCACACGTGACCAACAAAGTACTTGATATTTAGCGAAAATCGAAAATTAACTGAATTTAACCATTTGTAGAGAAAAAGAAAAAGATCGGTAGTGTTGCATCGTTCCCTGTTACAACAACATCAAATTTAATCCGACCTTCTGATGGTGCTCATGCAGAAGCAACTTCTCAAATAAACTAATACGAATTCGTTTTTGTTCAATCGAGCTTGTCCACATATTTTTCATTGTGTCCACTTAGAATCGAAATAAATTAGATCACCTTTTTCTTCATTACGGTCAAAGTGATCGCAGAGATTTAATCTTCAAGAAATAGATTTACAAATACATTAATATTGTTTCATCCGACCATGATTAATAGGTCGGGATTTGAGATTTTCTCCCATGTTCTTTTCTCCAAAAAAATGTCTTCGACTTCAATTGCGATCGTTTGTTTCTTTCTGTGTCAGCTTTTAGTCTTTTTAAAAAATTCAGATTCTATCATTTAAGTTTTATGAGAAAAAAATTCACTTGTCTTGCCCGAAGTTATTTGAGTACTTTTTTTTCTTTTATATTTGAAATTCAGAATAAGTAATGGCTGTCGCGTATAGATCATGTCAAAAAGACATATATACTCTCTTTTTTTGCTCTTCAAGTCATTGTCAATGACCATCCGTGTGGAAATCTAGAAACAATGTTTTTCACTTTGCATTGCCTTCAGGCTTCACTTCTAGTTGAGTAACTAGACAGCCTATTTCTCGCCTTCCTCTTTTCCTCGTCGTCCTTTTTATCCTTTTTCCTCATTCCTCATTGGTTCGAGTCAAAAAGTGTCTTGCCTTTCTAACAAATCATCGAACGAGGAATGCTAATGTGTACACATTACGTTGACAATGACAAGTGAAAAAAGTGATAGAAAAGGAGAACGAAGAGGCAACTAAACATTCTTTTCATGATTTATTCATTAGTATCAATGCATGTTCACAATGTAATGTGACACGACTTCAAAAAAAAAAAAGAAGTAACGAAGTGTATTTGACGGAATGAACATTGTTTCAATAGACTTGCTCGAATGATTAAATAGTTCGTTGGATGTCCGTGAACAGCAAAAAGAGAGGAAGAAACGAAGTACATTGTGGTAAATGGATCTTCAATTATCAATCTTCTCTCGGGCTGTTCACGTTTTTTTTTCTTTTCGAAAACTAGATGATTAATAAATAATTTACCTGAAATAACATTGCCGTGATGCTTTTCAAGAAGAAAAAAGAAATTCGAGATCGGCTATTTTGCTAATGTACGGTGTGCGCTTACATCTATCAAAAAGATAACAAATCGTCATAAAGTGTCTAATCTCCTTTGATAATGTTCGACGAACAAAAAGAACATATGCTAGTGCATGATCAATAAAAAATCGAAAGAAAATGTATTTTCTTTTTAGTATATTTGATGCTTAGAAATCTAACGAGAGGAGAAAAAAATGACAAAGAAGATGAGAGGATCGTTTTTTTTTCTTGTATTCACTAAAATGTAACTGAATAGAGAAAACAGAAGAGAGAGAGAGAAGTGGAATGAGTAAATGCGTCAAAAAAGAGACAGCGAGAAAAGAAAGTAGTGATAAGAAGAGGAAACAGAAGATCATTTGAAACGGAAAAGCTAGTGAGACACGCACACATCCATCCGATCTAGTCTCAATCTCTCTAGTCAAGTGTTTAAAAGTAATTTTTGCTAGAGGCTATCAACGTATTTTTTGATTTATAACGACAAAAGAATATATCTGTTTGCTACCCATTATGCCAGGTAAGACTTGACGTCGAGACGTTCAAAATTAGCAAAAGTCAACTATTTGATTGTCGTCGTTTACTTTTCTTATTGCATGTGTTTTTGTAGGTGAACGTCTATTGAATGTTCTGTGTGCGGTATGTGGCGATCGATCATCTGGAAAACACTATGGCATCTACAGTTGTGATGGTAAATTTCGAATGAAATGCTCGTATTCGTCAGTAAATTATTCGCAGAGCAAGAGTAGTATCGATTGAAGTAGATCTCAGAAATCATACTAGGGGATAAATGTTGCCTGATGAGAGAAGTCGATAAAAAACAATATTGACCAATCAGATTTCGTTTAGGCTGTTCAGGTTTTTTCAAGAGAAGTATTCATCGCCATCGTCATTACGTATGCAAAGCTCAAGGCGAACTAAAAGACAAATGTCCGGTGGATAAAACTCATCGAAACCAATGTCGATCTTGTCGGTTGGCTCGTTGTTTTCTAGTCAATATGAATAAAGACGGTAAAAAAATCTTCTATTCTCCTCATATTTGTTTTCTGAACGTACTTCCTCGATTACTTATACAGCGGTACAACATGAGCGTGGCCCACGAAAAGCCAAACCAAAGATACTCAGTGTTTCGAGTATGATTTTACCCAATTCAACTGCATCAAGTGGACCGCCTATTGCTTGTTCATCATCACCCATTATGGCTAGTATGTCTAACGTATCACTTGCTAATCAATTCAATCGAAAATTGTCTAAACATTCATTACTACCACAATCACAGTTGGCGTGTTTGCCCACAACAGAAAACTACAACTCATTTTCAACTATCATTAATCAAGTAGGACACATCGAATGTTTATTCATAAATTTTACCGTAAACTTTTCCTTATTTAATTAGACAACACTCTATGAGGCAGCAGCGCGTCTTTTATTCACAATGACAAATTGGTTACAAACAGTCCCATCATTCAAAATTCTTCCTACTGAAGATCAAGTATGTCAATTGTCTACTGAAACTTTGCCTATTTCTCCTTATATGCTTTAGCATACACTCTTAGAAGATAATTGGCACTATCTTCTGATTATAAATTTCAGTCAGTGGATGGTGCCCATAATGGCAATTCAATTGACTAATAGTGCACTGAATCAAAGCGATCAACTCGAAGTGCAACGTATCTGCGATTGTATTTACAAGCTGCGTTCGCTTGGATTGGATTTGTATGAATATACATATATCAAAACTCTTTCGCTTTATCAAAGTGCAAGTAAGCCCAACTGAAAGTTATTCCAGCGCAGATCGAATTCATTCTTTTTGTTCTCTTTCCGTAGCGAAACCATTGATTAATCAAAGTCATATTGACGCTTGTCAAGAACATGTTCTTTTTCTATTACGTACAAGTTTGATGTCACATTCGGCATCGACCTATTCAGTCAAATTCACTCAATTGATTGGAATTATTCAAGCAATGAATCATATCCCAGCGCATGCTGTTCAACGCATCTTTTTTCCGAGTATAACTTGTAATATTCCAGTTGGTAAAGTTCTTTGCGAATTATACCGTTCTAAAACTAATGAAACAACTTCATAAAAGACTAAAACCTTCCTTCGAACAGAATATATACTTGCAATTCTAGTCATTGTTCTCCCTTTTCTTTTATCACAATATAAATAAATCTACGTACAGTGTCATTGAATTTTTCTGTCTCTGTGTGACTTTACTATTAAGAGAGTGCATGCTGCTGTGTTTAGAATTCATCAAATATTAAGTGCTAAGTGATGATTTTTCAATATATCACATTGAAAGAAAATAGTTTCAAGTGTCAACGTTGACGTCATTGTCTTTTATAACTGCGTCATGTAGAAGAAAAGGTAGACAAGTGTATGCGAAGGTATCTAATGATAAAAATCGATTCCATTGTGTAGGAGAATAGTAAAATCTTCTTCTTGCGTCATCTAACGTGAAAATATTTGAAATAATTAACGGACGAATCGTATCGTTTTCTGGAACATCATAACACAGACTTTTAGTCGAGACGGAATTTAAGTATCATTCAATTGAAATGAAACGTCCATACTGTTAAAATAATATCGAGTATAGATTTTACCAGAGAGATATTTTTCAAAATCTCTTGAATAAATCGAAGTAACTAACGTCAGAAAATCGTTTGTTTCACTAATCAATATTGAATACGATTGGTCAGTATATCTTTGTGAATATAAGAGAAAAGACGAATCTTTATTACAGATGATCATTTGTGTACAGTTCGAGTGACAAAAATGGAATGTTTTTACAGTGATTTGTTAGATTTACCCAGTGAAATCTTAATGATTATTTTAATGCAACTGGATACAATAGATCATATCATGCTTATTGGATTAAACAAACGATTAAATTGTCTTTTATTCGATCTCACGATCACGAAACATTTACGTTTATTCAGATATACATCGGATGGTCACATTTGTAGATTAAATGACAAATATGTTAATGTCTTATGCTTACAAATCTTACCACAAATCGATCGAAATATTGAATCGATATATCTCGAAGAATCATTACTACGTACATTTTATTCTAAATGTACGATATTACGAGAACTTGTCGCGACTTGGCTTATTCAACATCGATCCGTCCAAAACTTCCTATTTATTCCATGGTAGGAATGTTGATATTCATTTTCTTTTGAATTCATTCTTATGAGTTTATTTAAACAATTTTCCCGTATTGGATGCGTATCAAAATCAGTTGTCATCATTGATTATTAAATTTAGTAATGATGCAGTTTGGATGAGCGACAATGCGTTAATTCTTCTATTTACGAATATCTTCCGAATGTTTCGCAACTTACAAGATTTAGATTTTGGATTCTCCTCTGTTGGTTATCAAGATCTCTCATTCGAAATGCCACATCGAACTATTTATTCTCCAGGTTCGTTTAAATTACATGTCAATGTCAAAGAATTCCATGATTGCCTGTATCTACTTGATGATTGTTTCCATAAACTCAAGTCACTTCATGTGAGAATTTCAAATATTGACTTAATAGAAAACAACCGGAAATGAAGTAAGTTAGTTTTCTAAACAATATTCAAATTTTTCTTCCAGATTCAACTAATCAATATGAAACATTTTTCATTAACCTGCGACAAAAGCACAAATTGTTACTACGAATCGATTGTTCCTCTGTTACGTCGCATGGTGCATTTAGAGAAATTCCCAGGTTATTATGGCACGGTCGGTTCCGGCCGGTTAGGTTCGTTTTCCGACCATTTCCTTGCCGCCGGATTCCGGCCGGAAGTTCAAACGTAGGTTCCAGTCATTTGCCGACCGTTTCCTGCAAACTTCGAGCTGGAAACGGTCAGGAACTGATCGGATATTTCCTGTGCAATTCCGGCCGGAATCCGGCGGCAAGGAACCTGCCGGAACTTGCTGGAATCGGCGAAGACTGTGCCGGAATCGAGAAGAGCTGAACCGGAACCGACTCAGATTTCAACGGATCCAGTCGCTGGAATGATCGACCTGGGAACTTGGGCTATATCTTTTGATCGTTCAGAAGGAAAAGTTAATTGATGGTGACAATCTCAAATACGATATTCTCAGTCGTCTTCCACATTTGCAACAATTTCAGTTTAATATTTATTCTTACATTCCTGTAGATAATGAAAGTAATCTACCGTCTAAGGAAGATATTGAGAACACGTTGATAGGTGTTGGAGCCAACGAAATCAAATTACTTATCAATTACTATCCAAAAGTTCAAATGGGCTCTTGTCATATTTATTCATACTCGTCTTCCCACAGAATGTAATATTATTTCAACATTAAAAACAATTTCCTAGGTGGATTATATCAAAATCTTCGGAAAATATCTTTATTTGGCGAATATCCATTTGAACATGACTTTTTCATTCGAATTGCGCAATCATTTCTATTCCTTCAAAGTTTATCGTTAACCAATATGATGCCACAAAATGATAAGCAAGATTCGTCGATTATTCAATTTCTTCATCTTCTTGAACTGAATTTTGATGAAATACATGACGATTATGCGGAACAATTCTTATTAGATACAAAGACTCACCTATCAAACGATATCTCCCTTTCTATAGAATATAAACAACTGCAACGTGTTACTCACAACTTCACCAGAATAGCGACAAAAAACAATTGCGCAAAACTTGGATACAAATTATGTTATCAAAATTAAAATATTTTTACATGTGAAAAACATTGTTTTCTAATGAATATGTCAATTTTCTCTTGAATTTTGTTTTCATATATATATTTATATCCAAATAAAGTATATTTCAAATGTAAAAGAAGACATTTTCCAATGTTTCAAATGCTTATACTTTTTTTAGCTCATAAATCAATGCATTGATTGATACAAGAAAGAGCTGAAATATAGTGTGTGGACATTCAATGACCTACATCATATAAGTAAAAGATATGTACACGCCAATCTATGCAGCTATATGTCATAAAAGAATCCGTTGAAACCATAGAATGATGTATATTTTTCTAATAATATTCAAATTTGATAAATACTGATACGTCATTCACGATATTGTACATTTGAAAAAAATCAAAAAATCTTCATTTACTGTCGAAACATTATACAGCAAGAAGATGTTCGAAAATAGTCATTATGTCGGAGTGAATGGAACATTTTACTTCTATTTCATCCAGAATTCGAAGCCATTTCTTGTCTTCATCTTCTTAATGACTTTTTCGTTTTCAAACTCTCCTTCTATCTCATCATCTACAGTTTTCTCACAATCCGAACAATTGAATCAGTGTAGATGATAAACTCTAATTTCATCTGCTGTCATCACATTCAA